TTTGGTATTCGATTATAAAAATTATATAAAAATAAGGTAGCGAATTGCGACTATTATTTATTGTAACGCGCAGTTGCTCTATCCGCGAACAATTTACGCGTTCAATAATTCCGACAATTTAGTTCTCGAGTTGAATTCTCCTCATTCTATTCTCATGTAGAGTTTGTTATTGCAGCGATCTAAACGCGTCAGAACTGATATAATTCCCGGCTTATTATCCCGTACTGATTCTAGAATCGCGCGCGAGAATCTCTAGCATATCACTCACGCGATGTCAATAAACGGTGTCACTCGTCCACAGCGAGAGAATCTCGCGGGGGGACGCGGATGCATATCGCGGCCGGATATTCTTGGATCGCGAAAACGCAACGGACGACACGGAGAGTGGGAGTCGAAGGGAACGAATCGCGTTCATGAAAAACGGGGGAATATTTCCGGGAAACGCGCTAATAATCGTAAAGCGCTCCGACGCGGAAATATTCCCGTAAATTTCCGCTTTACGTAAAATAATAATGGTGACGGTATATCAAAGTCACACGAGCAGCTTTTAGCGAGAATTAGTATCGAAAACGGCACGTACGCGGCCGGCGCTCGACGGGGTAAAATATCCCTCTCCTGTATTATATATATAGATATACGTATTCCAACGCGCCGGGTGTTTCAATCGCCGGGTGAAGGACGGGCAGGAGAAGGACGAGGAGAGAGCTTTTATTGCCCGGCTTTTATTAACTGACGGGCGCTACGTGTGTCTGTCTTGCTATTACTTACGCCCGCATGACCGGCACGACGTCGTAACCCACCTGCGCGCCATGACGCGCCACTTTCGCGCGTCCCGAGATATCGCTGGGTCATGGACGCGCTTTAACCCTTCCCTTTAATCTCCCTTTTACCTCGTTAAATGGGGACCTTTATCGCGCGCGCGTTTACGGAACTCGCGCATCAGCCATGGCGCGTGACCTCCGCCGAACTTTGCCAGAAATTCGCGTCCACAGATCCGAAGCTTGACCCGAGTCTTCCGGACTCCAGTATTTCGGGCTCGACGATAAGCCGAAATTTCGAGGGAACACCCTAAGCGTGATATGCTCGATTATCGGCCCTCGTGACACGCCGAAGCTCGAAGGCACGCCCGAGGAAATAGGAATGCCGGCAGTCGCCGTGGCTTCGTAAAACCGCGATAATACCACGATGGTATTCCAACATTTCCAACATGCGCATGAGATAATAAAAGAATGCCGTTACACCCAGTTACACCTAAATTTGCGCGCGAGTCGCGGCATATTTTGTGCGCATATGCCTCGTATCTAGATATTCGCGCATCGTAACTACTGATTATTTGATAATTATTTGGTAATTTAATAATAATTAATTTCTTATAATAATTAAAAAATATATGGTAATAGTAACAACATATACGTATAACAGTATATCTTATAATATGTATTATTATTATGACAAATTATATATATTATATAATTGTTATCAATAACTATGGCCGTGTCCACCCGAACCTCCGCTAGCTAATCCGCTAGGTAGCAATTGAATGTGATTCGTTCTTTCCTTTGGATCCAACCAATCACACTTAATTGTTACCTAGCTGCTTAGCTAGCGGAGGTTCGGCAAAACGCTATAATGTATGAATATTAAATATGAAGTGCACCCTCAAATATGCCCCGATATGTGGCTCTTTTGACAAAAAAGGTTGAGCATCCCTAATCTAACGAGCGTGTGCTTCTCTAATTCGCGTTCTGAAAGAGATAGAATGGATCAAAAATAGAACTCGGTTTGAAGAAGTACTAATATCATGAAACGAATCGTTTCGCCGATTAACGAACATGGCGAGGCAAATCTTGCTCGTTAACATCCGTCAAATATCCGGGAAATCGTTCATCCGCCTTACGTAACGCGTTGCAGATGAATTAACCTTTACAAGTGCATCCGAGGCATTTTTATCAGCACGATATTTATTTTATCGAGCTAAAATCAATGAAGTGTCAAGAACACACACGCCACCGTGCGCTCCCCCGTCCGTCGATCGTTGTTTGTAATTGAAAGAAAGTTACGCACATGAACTTTGCTATTTACGCATGAAAGTACATATACATGCTGACATGCATAAAGGCACGTGTCAGTCTCGTTAATCCTGCATTATATACTTGTTTGAGGTTTCTTTAACGTAATTATACTCACGTGAGAATCAGATGTCGAATCGATGATGCTTTATCATACATGTAATGTTTCTGTCGTATTAAAATAAATAGAAATATTTATATCGTTAATCAGAAAATAATAAAGAAGAGATGTAAGAAAAATTTTTATTCAGAAGCAATGTACATATTACTCGACTATTAACGTACGCAATTAATAAAATTAAATAATCGTGCGATTAATAATAAATTAATACATAAGAAATAAACATATAAAAATATATGTATATTTCACATTTATATCGAAACCCGTATATAAATAAAAAGTTTTCATATATCACGAATAACAAATAAAGGATGGATATTCGAATTGAAATTCTTTTGCATTATAAAAAGTCTGATGCAGAGACGATCGAACCGAAGGCAGAATCGAAGGCGTAACATACATATACAATGTTAAAATTTCTTGGTGGGCTGGATAAAACGGCAGCCGAATTCGACCTGCGGACTGTAGGTTTGGGGACCCTAATTTATAATTAAATAAAGGTAGAAAGTTTTACTATGTGAAGTTAGTAGATAATTTCTAAAGCTGAGGTATATTTTATGCTGGGTCTACAATGCGACTCGCATTGTAGACCCAGCATTACATCTCACGCGAGTAACGTAAGGTCGACACGTGTATGTTTAATGATACACGAAAGAATAGACGCCAAGGATACGATCGAGTCGCGCAATTTATTTCCGGCCGCGAATGCTAAAAGCGCAGAAAATCACTGCTGAAATAAATAAATCTGCAATTAATCCCCCCATTTTCATTTTTTTTTAAATTTTATTAAGCACGTAGTCGTGCGTCGCTCACGTGCTTCTTGCGTTTCGACATAGACCTCATTATACGAACATACGCCTTTATAACGATTAGATCATCATCGTCATCATCACCCTCGTGGCGGCACTTTCGTTTGCGCCAACCGAGACGCCGTATATCCCGGATGCAATCATTATCATTAAGAACAACCGGGCCTCGCTTCTCTCTCTCTTTTTCTTTTTCATTTACTTCTCCTTTACCTTCCGTTTGTCTTTTCCGAAGAGATACAACGACCGACCACGCGCGCCCTGTCATAGCCCACGCGACATTCATTACGACTAATCGGCCCTTCAAATAGTCGCTCTAAACGACATGGACAATTCTCTCATTTGGAATTCCATCCGTCTTGGAATCCGTCTTTTCGCATATGATTTTTATTATGTACGCACAACGAGATCATATTGTCTAGTTAATCAAGAAAATTTAGAAAGATTTGACCTGTAGGAAACAGCAAGAAAACGGCTTAATTTTATTTCGTAAATATTCGAATTTGCAATTTAGAAAAGTAAATATTAAATTTGATTAAATTTAAATAGACTTTATGGTTTAACTCGTTAATGTTTGCTGTCCTTTTTAGATCTTAGCTATATCTTCTATGCGTAGAACAAAACTTTGATAATTACGTATTGAAAATAAAAAAAAGTAAAAGAAAAGCGAGAAACTGAAATAAATTTACGCCAAATATACATGTTGAAGTATATACTCATATTCAGAGCGTACATATTATTATATTTTTTAAATTTTGGATACAAAGAGATTTTCATATACATTTGCTTAATTATTTACATCATATTTTATATATCATTTTTATTTTCACGTTGGTAGGAAAGAGACTTGTCGATAAACTAATATTTCATAATTTTCGATAACGACAATATAAGAATTAACATTAATAAATTCACGTAAATTCACATTATACAAGTTACGTTATAAAGGGTACATTATCGTAAAGGTGATTTCTACACTTATATATAAAATATAAAATTACTTTCTCGCTTATACGTTGTTTGTTATTACAGTCTCACAGTCTATGATCACACTATATCTATTTAATGTATCGTATAACTATCCATTTCTAAAATAATATAAATTACAATTATTACAAATACTATTTTGTCGTCTTGGATACCATCCGTTTCAATCGCATTGTATAAGAGACTCCACAAATTTTCATGACTACTATATAATTGAATAACCTAATAATATAAATATTTTTCAAGATTTTATTGCAAGTACATCTTCGGTAATATCACTATTATGACTATAATGAATCAAAAGCAAACATTTCCTAGTTACATATAAATAGACTAAATACTGTTATATATGTATCTAAGCGAAATTACTTCATATCCAAGCTATGCGATTGATAATATACATATAAAAAGAAAAAAACATCTTATATCACCAGCACCATTTTTCAGTTCTGCATCTAGGAAAGTATATGTATGAGTATATATATATGTTACGGTAAAAGCGCAAAATTCAGTAAATGTATACACTTACAAGAGCTCTAATAAATATGAGTGTAGTGAGATAGAAGGGTAAAGAGTGCACAGATCCCTACTTAAAAAAAAGAAAAAAACAAAACTAATGTAACCCAATCCAATCTGTATCATTGTGATAATAATAATGTTGCTTATTAAAAGATATAAATTTAAAACATAAAATTTAGTAAACGTATACATTGACTAGTAAAAGCATATATTGATTAGTAAGCGTATACATTTACCGGTTCACGCTTTTACTGTGACATATATACAAATATGAGATAAAAGAGAAAATATTTCCCGATCTAAAGTCAATGTACAGATATGACGATATAGATCAACAGACCACGTTATTTTGCAATAATAAAAGAAAGAAAAATAAATAGTATAAAATATATTAATACATAAATTATATTAATGTATCATTAATATATTTAGAATATATATTTAGAATTAAAAATAATAAAAAGGAGGAGAGCAATTGAGAGGGAGCTATGGAAAAAGTCATGGAAAAAGGAATATATTTTAAATTATTGCTTCTATGTGACATATGTACCTGATCGGAAGAAATTCGAGAGACTGATTACTTAAATGATCGCATATCGTGTGTGTATGTGTGTGTATGTTAATTGCTACATAAATTATGTAAAATTCAAATTGGACGGGGATTTTTTGGCACATACTGGTCCATAGCTTAATGGCACTTTCACGCCACTTCTGAAAGTGGATACATTAATCGTATCATTACACTTGAATCCCTAAAGTTGTTCTACAATATCGTGATCGTTTTTGTAAGAAGACTGTTTAAAACTATTTTTTTGAGAATGTTTTGTCCTTTGTAATTCCTTTGCGAAATACACTATGGTTTTCTTCAGGCCTTCAGCCAAAGGGACCTTGGGCTCCCAATTTAAATATGTTTTGGCTCTGCTAATATCCGGTCTTCTTCTCTGCGGGTCATCCTCGACCGCCGCGAGTTCAACTATTTCACTGGTAGCACCCACCAGGTCCTTTATTATACGCGCAAATTCTGAGACAAATTAGAATGTTAAACTTTAATAAATATCACAAACAAATATCGGGAAAAACATGATTAAAATGACAAGCGGCTCTTACTTTCAATTGTATGCTCCACAGGATTTCCGATATTCACAGGTAAGGTGTAATTAGATGCCATTAATGCTACCAATCCGTCCACCAGATCGGAAACGTATTGAAACGATCGCGTCTGTTTTCCACTGCCGTAAATCGTGATCGAATCATTTTGTAAAGCCTGGAGAATGAAGTTCGACACTACGCGACCGTCATTCATGTGCATTCTGGGACCGAAGGTGTTGAAAATTCGTGCAACTCGGACCGAGACGCCTTCCTGTCTCATATAAGCATAGCTCAATGTCTCGGCAACTCGTTTTCCCTCGTCATAACATGCCCGCGGACCTATGTTCAACAGTACACCAATCATCAAAACGCCTACGCTACACTTTAAAGAAAAATCTATATTTACATCGCACAGATTCTTACCGATGGGATTTACGTGACCCCAATAAGTCTCTGCCTGCGGATGTTCGTTAGGATCCCCGTACACTTCCGACGTGCTCGCAATTAACACTCTTGCACCGACTCGTTTCGCGAGTCCTGAAATACCGTCAACAACAATTACACAATGTTATCTCGAACATCTTCTCATTTTCAAATTCAGCCCCGTACGGCTAACTCACCAAGCATATTTATCGTGCCCAAGGTATTAGTCTTGATCGTTTTCACGGGATTCAGCATGTAGTGCGGCGGACTGGCCGGGCTGGCGAGATGATATATCTCGTCGACCTCCAGATACAACGGCCTCACGATATCGTGATGCACCAGTTCGAAGTTCTCGTGACCGACCCAGTGTTCCACGTTCCGCTTTCTGCCGGTGAAGAAATTGTCGACGACTATCACTTCGTGCCCGGCGAGCATCAGACGGTCCACCAGGTGGGAACCGACGAAACCCGCGCCGCCCGTCACCAAAATCCGCTTCCGGTTCTTGTAGTTCAGGAACTTCACCGTCGGGAAGTCCTTCGCCACTCCGTTCTTAATCGCCGCCTCCAGATGCTGAAGCTTACCCTCCAGCTCGCGGATCCGAACCTTCGCCTCCTCGATGTCCCTGATGTCTCCGTCGGCCGGCTCGTCCTCGACATCGCGAACCTTCTGCGTTGCGACCTCGACGAGCTCGTTCTTGTCACCTAGACTAGCTTTATTTCCGCCGAGTACGGCGCGGTGTCGGCCGCGATTGAAAGATCTTTCCTCTTCCGTGGTCACCAGAGTTTTGTAAAAGCCCAGGACTGTTACAAGTGTAGAAAACGATATTACAAATCTGGGATTACACAGACCTGTTTTTTTATATATGCATTAATTTTTAAATTTTTAATTTTAAATTACAATAATTACATTTGTCATCGTAGTAATAAGCAAAAGAATTGTAAACTTATGCAAGAGACGTACTTTTTCTTTACAGATAAAATTGGATATAAATATATCTTACAAATTGGTTTGGAAAAAATAACATGGAAGACACGCACATAAAATTCGCATCGTCCATCGAATTATTTTCTAAATAAATTAATTATTAAATTAATTAAACAAATTCTTATAGGTGCCATAAATTAATTAAATAACTTCTTACAGGTGCCACAATATTTCAGCAAAATTCTTAGACTGATAAAACGGTAAACTTTTTGCTTTTCGTTTTAATTTTTTCATTTAATTTTTTTATCGTTCCTAATGACAGTCTACTTGAAATGGACCGCAGGCAACCGCAGCAGCTAATGCCCAAAAGATTTGCTCGCTCTACTACTGTCTACTACCACAATTGTCTCGCTCGGCATTCAGGGGTGCTCAGCCAAATGTTACATAATTACGCAAATTTATACATGCCGCATACATTCGCGCTCTGAGAAAGCTGTCCGATCGCCACTGATTAAATATTAATATCAATTAATTCTCGTTGTTTTGATATTAGTTAATCGTTTTAATAAATTAAATATTAATTATCTTGTTTACGAAAGAGTGGAAGAGTGGTCTTTTATTATTCGCGTTCAGTTACTCTTGTCTATATTTATGTACCGAAATTATGAAATAATCGAGACTAGTCAACATTGAAGTAAAAAAGCACAAGCCACTCCGCTCCGTTTCGTAATGAATTTGATTGAAGTGGAAAGTTCGGTTATCGATAAAGTTACACAGATTATATCTCTCGATAACGACGCGATCGCGACGTGTTGATCACCGGTGGTTAATTAAGGCAGTGATCCAAACTGTAAAAGGCTTTTATCGACGTTACGCGCTTCAACTTGCACGGAGGCAAAAAAAAATACCGAGAAGTTGATTAAAAAATACTCGCCCTCCTCAATTTAACGGAAAAAATCATCCTTGCAACGACTTGTAACTTTCAAAGAACTTTCGATCGCATGTTTCGTTTATCGGAGTTAAGGTCGACTTTTATCGAGTTTTATACATGACGAGATAAACGCATGAAAGGCAATGTTAAAACACTTTGCTATTTTTACAACACGGTATACCAGACCTCTAGCATATTTACACGGCAGTGGAGCGCTAACGAAACTATACAATTATCGTTACGTAAACGTAACACGTAAACATAAATTAAAAAAAAAAAAGAGATTATACTGAACAAACAAATCACAAAAAAGCGACCGGGAAAGGGGGAAGGGATCAAGGGATTCGAGGAGTCGCCTGACGTCAAATTTGCGGGAATTAAAAGCGGGGAAAAGCAAACAACGAGACCATGCGAGATCGCAATCGCTCAATTTTATTGCACGTCCCGACGCGACGTATCGTGGCGTATCGGCGGCGAATAAATCTCGCGGCGCGGCGCAGAGTCGGGGTCGGGGACGAATAATCTCGAGCTGACGGTGCCCTCCGTTCGAGTGAGGGGCGTGAGGGGGCCCCCTCGTTCTTGAGGGCGCTCCGAGGGACCTTGGCTCCTCCGTAACCCTATCCGTGGACTCACCCAGCAGCACGCAAACCGCGAAGATCGCGATCTGCTTCATCTTTCGTTGCGTGACAACCATGCTTTAAATTCGCACATGACTCGCTCCGCGCTCGAATTATCGCGTTTACGTCACTCCCGTCGCGGCACGACTGACCCTGACAACGAGCGTCGCGTACTCCCGCCGCGCGACACGGGATACGCGCGTCCGGAGAATCGAGCCAGTTTGGCCTGCCGATTTCAAAATATACACACGGGACCAGGGAACATAACCTCCGCGGCGCGCGGACACCGACCGAACGTGTGTGTTCGATCGCTCCGCGATGCATGCACCTGCACGCCACGCGACGTGCTCGTGCTCGTGTCGCGTGCCGCTCTCGTGGTTATTGACGCGGAGCGATCGGAGGTACGAGTGCCGCCATCTGAACGACGACACTCGGAAACTCGGAGATTTACACCCCCTTCATAATTAATAAATTATTAATTACATTAATATATTTTATTATATTATATTATTAATTTTGTAATATTAATAACATTATATGTGAATTATAATTAATTTATAAGATTAACTTTGTGATTTATTTTATTTATTATCTCAATCTATAGATGTATCCAATTTATAAATATATTTTTATTGAATATTATTGCAGATAATATATTCGAGTTTAAAATTACATTTCCATGATTATTATTATTCATGCAAGTGAAAACTATAGGAAAAATGAAGTTTTGCAGTTTTATCTGTGAAATACCTCTATCTGTACAAGAATAAAACTAATGTAAAATGAAATTAACGCTGCATAAATTAATCGAAAACCGTCGTACCGTCCGCCGTTAACCTAAAAACCTAACCTCAAAGCCTGGCGCATCCAACTGGCGCGCACGCAGGCGCAGAGTCTATTCTTCGATTGATATATAAGACTACGGCAGTACAAAGGAACATCTCGGGTGGTTTTCCTGCAGTCACGGAGTCACGGTGGCAGTGGCACTCGAAACATGGCAGACATCATCGATTGTAACTTTCCTGTTTGGGGCCTGCTGCCTAAGAAAGAGACGGGTGTCACTCAGTTTATCACCAAATATCCGGAGTACGATGGCCGGGGTGTCGTTATTGCGATCCTCGACTCGGGGGTGGACCCCGGGGCCCCGGGTATGCAGGTGAGCGCAGTCAGCGAGGGTGAATCCACGAGAGCATTGGTTATTTCGTTCGACACGCCTTCCTCAAAAGCGCTAATTCCTCTCGCCCGAAAGGACCGCCCTTTCCCCTAAATGCGAGTGCGAAGTTTTGGAGTAGTGGTAGACGTAGACTCGATAATGGATAACGTTTCTTGCCTTTTTTCTTTTTTCGTTCCTTACTGATCCGAGAATGGCCCCCTGTATCTCACCAATTATATCCTTTGAAAGATAACAGTCATGCCGTTCGTAATCCCAATGTCACATTATGAGAATTTGTTATTGACTGTCCTATTAAACTGTCAGAAAGCTGCCTGAACTTTGTCATGTCAATGACATCTTAAAATCTATTAATAAACCTGACTGAGCTTTGTCACAGTAATTTGAAATTTACAGCCACTCTCACATTATGCCATGATCTTTGTCAATATATTATTATATTTGTTCAATTAGTAAATTTTAAAGGTGTATAATTATCATTTTTTTCTTTTATGTACTGTACTCTCGGTAGCTTTTATTAAATTTGTATCTTTATAACAATGTAAAATTTTTTTACATAATTTTAATAAAAAAAATTGATATTATTATCTATAAATACAATGTATATGGGATTTAGGTGACTTCAGATGGAAAACCAAAAATTATTGAGAGATTTGACTGCAGCGGAGCTGGGGATGTAGATACTAGCAAAGTTGTTCAAGCACCAGACGGATATATAATTGGCCTGACTGGCCGTAAATTAAAGGTATGTTTATACATTTTTCTGTTACTTAGGAAAGATTGAGTTATGTATGAAAAGTCAGTGAATATTTTTTATTCATAACCTATAATGTTGCTTTTAGAATTTTAAATTGTCAGAAGTATGAGTAAACACAAATAAAAGCCATTAAACTGGCCAGTTTAATATAAAACCAACCAGATTTAATACAAAAGTCATAGCAATATATGCAAGATATAAAGATACATACATTGTCATCTCGATTGTCATATAATTTTAATTATAATGAAATATACTGTTATATTTATTACAAGAGCACACACATTATATACGAATTGCAATATTTGATGTTTAGGTTCCATCTAATTGGAATAACCCTAGTGGAGAATATCATATTGGTTTAAAGAATCTGTATTCGTTATATCCTACAAAACTTAAGGAAAGAGTGGTGGCAGAACGTAAGAAGCGTCTTTGGGATGATGGACATAAAACAGCTTTTGCAGAAGCTTCCAGACGATTACAGGTATAATATTTTTATATAATGACAATACACTAATACTTTTTATTTGTTTCCGAAATGAATAATACATCTTTAAAACTTTCCAAACAATCTCGTAAACCGAAGCATACATATATAGGATTGTATGCAGGATCTGTTGATTACAAGTCAGAGTCATTCGTCATCTCAATGTTAAATCTTTTTGCTATTAATTATCCATCTCATTCTTTGATGTTTCGAGATTTATCTATTATAAATTTTCAATGCTTTACAATGTCAAGTTGCTATTTTTCCTCTTGATGTATATATAATCATAATGTTATTGACGTATCGCAATAATTACTGGAAATCGATAGAAATATCTTTAATTGGCATTATAATTAGAATTTTAGTCCATGTGATCCAAAGATAGGAGTGCCGTGAGCATGTCAAACCATGCAATTAATTGAGGCCACTGTTTCACAACACGTCACAGTGGTCCGTATCTAATGCTATATTTGTATTTGGCAGATTGATCTGTTGTAAAGGCATTGATTCCATTATATAATATCTACTTAAGTCTGTTATAAGGACGTTACACACATATATGTGTAGTATTCTTATTAATTTTGTGATATTTTAATAGTACATAATTTAAATATTAATTTATAAGTGCAAGAGGAAAAATATTTAAAAATGTAAGAAATTGAAGATATATAAAAGTATATTATTAACAATGTAGAAAAATTTTTTATATGTTATAATTAAAAATATGTTTTATATGTCGAATTAAATTATTATAAGCAGAAGTTTTGTATCATTGTTAAAATGTTTATTGTCTTGTTTGTGTATTGTTTATTTACAAATTAAGCGTATTTTGATACATTATTAACTTTTTATTAATAATTAGCTAATTATTAATGGTAAATTATACGATGTGCGTAGGAATTTGAGAGCAAAAATCCACAATTATCGACTTCGGAAGAAAGACTGCAAAAGGAAGAATTTGAAGCTCGAGTTGAAGTATTGAACAATATTGAAAAAAAGTATTGCGACGTAGGACCTACTTACGATTGCGTTGTTTTCCACGATGGTAACATTTGGAGGTAATCCTATTCCGAGTATGTGATAAGCTTAAATATGCACATACCTGTTTGTTCGAAATCTAAGTTATTTGCATTATATTTACTTGTTTAATTTGATGCTTATTTTTTCCATGACAGAGCATGTATTGATACTTCTGAAGTGGGTAATCTGGAAACTGGTGTTTTTCTTGGTGAATATTCTGTCACAAGAGATTTTGCTCCTCTCACTCAAGAAGACCAGTTAAATATTAGTATTAATATCCACGATGAAGGCAATACATTAGAAATTGTCAGCTTATGTTGTAAGTATGATAAAAAAACCGTATTAAAGTTTTGTAAAATTAAATGTCGATTTTTCTATTAAGTTTTTTCTTTCAATTGAATTTTATTATAGCGAGTCATGGAACACATGTGGCATCAATCGCAGCTGCATATTTCCCTGATAATCCAGAATTGAATGGTGTGGCACCAGGAGCCCAGATTATTTCGCTAACTGTTGGTGATGGACGTATTGGCACAATGGAAACAGGGACTTCCGTTGTACGAGCTATGATCCACATAATGCAACGTAAGGAAAAGATTCATGTCATAAACATGAGCTACGGAGAACATGCTCATTGGTCAAATACAGGTAGAATAGGAGAATTAATGAACGAAGTTATTGACGAATATGGCGTAACTTGGGTTGCATCTGCTGGCAATCTTGGACCAGCTTTGTGTACCATTGGTAAATATAATAAAATTCTATTATTAGTTCTCTCTTTTTCATGTATACTCTCTGTTGTATCAGCTTCTTAGAATCAATTTTATTGCCTAATGCAATTTGTATTAATATTATAAATATAAAGTATATTCAAAAAGTTAATATTTTAATGCGTTATGTCTTATATCCAAATACTTTAAAAAATATATAGGAACTCCTCCAGACATCAGTTCAAACAGTATTATTAGCGTTGGTGCTTATGTGTCACCTGATATGATGGTAGCTGAATATTCTTTAAGAGAAAAGATGCCAGGCATGCCATATACTTGGTCCTCCCGTGGTCCAATGATAGATGGAGGTGCTGGTGTAACAGTATGTGCACCAGGAGGTGCCATCACCAGCGTTCCAAATTTTACTCTCAGGAAAAGTCAGCTTATGAATGGTACAAGTATGGCAAGTCCACATGTCACTGGGGCAGTTGGTATATATCAAAATTTCTTTTTACATATTGAAAGATATCTATAGGTATGATTATATAAAAATATTTTTATATTAAATTTCTATATTTCAGCGGTTCTTATATCTGGTCTTCTTGCCAAGGGTTATTTATACTCTCCTTATAGTATAAAGAGGGCTCTTGAAAATACCGCTCTTTATATACCTAATTTAGATCCATTTGCACAAGGCTCTGGTCTGTTGCAAGTCGAACGTGCATTTGATAATCTCGTCTCGTGTTGTGAGGCTCCTGAAAGAGACGTACGCTTTGCCGTCAATTGCGGTGTTAATAATTCTAAAGGCATTCATATGAGAACAGGTGTAATTGATCGCCCAAAGGATTATGCAATTACGGTTGAACCAGTATTTATAAATAGCGAAAATATAGGTAACATCGCATATAATGATATTTTGCAATTGTCCTTTTTTATTTTATTATCCTGATGTCAGAATTCTCTAGAATAAATAATATATAAAATAATGTCTTTTATGTAAACAAATTTTTGTCTTTTTGTAGATCCAGCACGCAAAATTGATTTTAATCTGAAGCTGACACTCGTATGTGATGCTTCCTGGGTCCAATTTCCAACACATCTGGATTTGATGCATATGCCTCGTGCTTTTGCTATTAGAATTGAAGCTACTAATTTACCAGAAGGTGTTCATGCCACTAGGTAAAAAAATATATTTTTTTATTGTATTAAACATT